AGCCCAGCACCGCTGTCGCAGCCCTCCAGGGGACATCCATCTCTTCCTTGCCTTCCTCCTGTAGCTGGTTTGCAGATTCATCAGGTGCATTTGGCATGAAGAGACCACTTTCATGGCCACTGGGCGCACGGCAAACTCAATGCCCAGACCAGCGCTGCCCTGCTGGATTTGCTTGTGGAGAACGGTGTCTACAAAGAGAAGCAAGTAAGCAGCCTGTGGCCAGGGCTCCAGTGCCCCAGGGATGCTGTGGCCCCTCACGCCGGCTGCGCTGGGCCCCCTCAGCCTTTGAGACCAGCAGAGTGTGATGGCAAGGGGAGCACTTCTTGGGGGAAGCTGGGCAAGTTGCTGGCTCTGGCAGCTCTCCAACTGTTCCCGGTGTCCCCTCCAGGTGCCGGCCATAGTCAGGTGCATCCACCAGTGGCTCACATGCAATGTGTCTGCTGAGCACAGGCTGGACAAGACTCTTGTCCTGCTGACACAGGCACACCCTGTGGATGTTGCAGTGACCCTGCTGCGCTCTGCCCCAGCCTGTGACAGGTATGGGGCCCACCTGCCTTGAGGGCTCCCCTGCCTTTAGACCCCATCCCCCTGCACAACCTGTCCCAAATGGTGTGCCAGAGAGATGGAGACTTCCAGGACACTCCAGCTCCTCTCTTTGCCAGCTTTGGCATGTCAGCCCCCAATCCTGAGGGCAGCCTGCCTCCCTGCCCCACAAGGCATCATGGCTCTGTCACCTGGGCCCTGCAGATGCCCAGGCCACAGCGCTGTGTCCCAGACGTCCCTGAGCCAGAGTTCTGACTCCACAGAGCTGCTCGCACCATGTGGAGGACGCTCATCTCCTCCAGAGGGACTAAGGAGCTGGTGCTGCAGATCCTCTTCCGTGCTCTGGAATTCTGGCCAGCGCACAGGACACGCACCTCTGATGGGGATGAGAGCGATGTCTTTGCCCTGGCTGTGAGTTTATTGAGCTGGCCTCTGCTCACCCCCAGCTTGCCTCTGGGATACCTTTTCATCCTCCCCCACCACTGCTTCTCCCTGCCCCAGGCACTGGGCTGCGACCCTGGCTTAGGGGCAAGTTCAGGGCCACCAGGCCGGGGGATCCCCCTGTGTCTCCCCTGGCCTCTCCCTGCCACGCTGGGGCCCTACCACATGGACATCTGGGCCCTGACAGCTGTCTCTGGGTGCTTTGTCTTTGGCAGGCAACTGTGGCACTCTGGGAGATCCTCCAGCTGCCCTGGTGCCCAGGGGCAGTGAAGACCAATTTGCCCCGCCTCCTTCTGACTCTGCTCTTCCAAGTTTTCATCAGCACAGAGGAGATGTCAGAGGAGGTCGAGACCTTCTGGGGGCGATGCCGGGAGCAGCGCAGCCTTCCCCCCAACCCCAACAGGTGCTCCATCCCAGTCCTCTCTCCCTGCCACGCCCTCGGGGCTGGGGCCGGGGCTCTGCGCCTGACCTGGGCTGTGCTCTGCACACAGGTTTGCAGTGCAGACCGTCAAAGCCCTGCTGCGCCAGCTGCTGGATGAGGACGTGGTGATGGTGATCCATCGCAAGTGTGGCTGGGACATGCTCCTCAAGGCTGACACCCACCACTATGCAGTGGGTCTGCTGGCCAGGTGAGAGCCCTTTCTCCCCACTGCCCCTGGCATTTCTGCCCTGTGCACAGGCCACCCCACACAGTGCCCGTGCTGCTGGGCCAGGGATGGCTGAGCAGAGTGGCAAAGGCGGAGAGGGGTGGCTGCACAGGAGGAGCCACCTCCCAAAGCGCCCGTGTGCCCTCCCGGGCTGGTGGCCAAAGACCAGGCCTCTGTGAGTCAGTCCCAGGAGAGCTTTGCCCACCTGACTCAGGGTCTCTGGTGCCTTTATTCCCCCTTGCAGGGAGCTCTGCCGTGTCTCCCGGTCCTTCTGCCGCAGCATCGCAGTCAGCCTGCTCCCGCGGCTCAGCAGGGAAGAGCCCCTGTGGGAACTGCCTGCCCTGGCATTCCTGGTGGAGGTGAGCCTGATGGCGAGCTGCCTCCCCCTCTCTGCCCTCACACAGCCGCAGCCGCCTGGGACGGTGCCTGCACCCTGTGCTGCTGCCTGGGCCCAGCCCCGGGCAGGTCCGGGCTCCTGCCGGCCGGGCACCCCGTCACTGCTCCCTGCCTTTCAGGTGCTGCACTGCCTGAACCCCAGACAATGCGGGCTCAGCGTCCTGCAGATTATTTCAAGGCGCCTGCGGAGTGAGTGCCCCGAGAGGCGTCGCCTGGCACTCCGAGGCCTGGTGGTGATCAGCAAGGCTCCCGCACTGGTGAGCAGGGGGCAGGGGCTGAAGCCGGGC